ACTGGGCACGCGAGAGTTAAAAATTGACGAAGTTATTCTACTTTGACTTTGATGTGGAAACCTAAAAATAAAATATAAGAATAATTAGCAGATTTAAATATAAAAATTTGGTCTAATTATGATAACTCATATATGTTTCTACAAAAAAATGTGTATAATAATATATTGGTCCTATATTTAAGTACCCACAGAAATGTCGCATCTGAACAAATTAATTACATAATCTATATTACGTGACACAAGATGGCGTCTTAGGAACAATTTGTTTTATTACTAATTTATAATACTTTTTTATTGATTAAGTATCTTATTAACCAATGACAAGTAATTCCTTTGTTTTTACTGACATTTCTTGAATTATTTGTGCAATATCTAAGTACGCACGACGGCATATTTTTATCACGAGATTTTTTTTAAATCAACACAACACGTGTCAACTCTACAAGCGCCTAGCGAGTGACTGATAACTGATTAAAGTGCAGTGTATGCACCGCAGTTGAATGGAACATAGTAGCTGAATGCAGTGTCGCCTCTAGTACGTAGTACATATTAGCTCAATGTTGTCGCTCGTAGTTTTATTGTTGACGTTTTAACTTGGTATAAATAAAAAAATTGTTATTTCAAAGTTTTAAATGTATAATATTATGTCGAAAGATCTCATATATCATAAAATGTAACAAAATATTTTATTCATAGATAAACTGTTCTTAGAACACTTAATTACGCTGCAAAATCTGATTGAATGTTGATGTGATGTGACGTGCATGCCATGTAGATGTAAATCCCGTAATGCTTTTAAGTAGACAACTTTTATTAGCAATAATGTTTGATTTATTACTTAAAATTATTTAAGAAATAAAATGTCGACATACTGTATGCGTAGAAATTTTTATTTGACAAATATTGCTGCAATGTAACAATAATAAATAAATTCGTTCAATACAATAATTTATGTAAACTAAAACTAAAAGCATTAACATTGTAAGCTTTTAGTTGTTCACGCATTATTATCATATTGCTATTACGAAATAACAAAACTGAGCTCAAAAAACACTAAGAAGGTTCAAATAGTTATAAAATTGGTACTTTATGCTCTAAGAAGTTTAGCAATATCTTGTTTGATTTCAGCCATGAACACTTGTGGATTTTTTATGATTACATTTCAAGTATTGGAAACATTATACATAAAATTATAAGGGGGAAAAACAAAGCATCATCTACTTTTATTAGTGATCGATGGTACCTCTATACGCCATGGCCCTATAGCCTAAACCATTGCCACTAAAATTGTTCAAAACGACTATAAATCAATAGCACGCTACAGACTATAAACTATAAATTTCTAGCGCGCTATTAAATACGCTATGTTATAGCGCGCTATTTATAAGAAAGCGTGTAGGAGGCCGGTAAGCGCGTTAAGTTTTACAGCACGTTATATCTCTTAGCACGTTACATTCCATGTCGTTCATTGGATAGATCGCGTGCTATATAAGAACATTATTTCGTAATAAGTCGCATTTTAGACTAAAATAAAATAAAGCGGTAAAGAAAAACCAATGCAATGCCTAACAATATTCTTAAGTTATGTACTATTTAAAATAGAATAAATTTTATTTTTGTAATCGACATAAAATTAATTATTTTTTATTATAATTAATGTAAACGTTATTTTAATCTTAATATAAATTATAAATCAAATAAAGGTGTATTTAAAAGTTTATTTATTGTATTTATAAAAATCAGTTATTTACATACACTATTATATACACTTTTGTATCTATATTTTATTTACATTTCAAACATTAGTTAGGATTCTTTTATCACAACTGTGTTCTTTGATCATTTATAAATATACAGTATACACTAACTAAACAACGTCTAACATTAAATTAGGCTGCGCGCGATGAATAGCGCGCTACGAGATCAAATTTGCGTCACACGTCCTCTCCTAACAGCGCTGCTGCTAGAACTAATTGCCGCTAGATATTCATACTCAGTGTTTCCACATTAATGATTTCCTTTCCCCACGTCTCATTCGAGATTTCCCCTTCTCAGGACTTTTTTCCCCTCAAAAATTATTCTGCTGTAGTTTTTGCACTAGTAGTAAAAATCTGCTCATTCAACCTTATAATATCATTGTGTGGTACACAATCAATTATAATTGGGTGATACATACTAAATAATAACCAAGCATAGGTACCACTGAGTAAAATTGCGCTGAAACATCGAAAAAACTTGTCGACTTTGCGCATCACTAGTTTGATGTAACTGCACATCACTGGCTGTCAATTTCTTTAGGATTTAAAAAAGACGAATCATTGTGAACTAGGATTTAAAAAAGACGAATCATTGTGCACATCTTCAAATACAAATCGTTTCTTAAACTGTACGGTGTACGATCGATTCAATATAAAACATTTTTGCCGCCTGAAAAACTTTTTGAACTTCACAGTTTTCTTTATTTTCCAACTATGTTAATAAATGAGTTGCATCCACACCTAAATAAATACGTTGCAATTCAAGATGCTCTTCTGTCTGATAAGGATTGATTTGGTTAGCAGGGGTTTGTTTGAGATAATTTCAGGATTGATTTGGTTAGCAGGGGTTTGTTTGACATAATTTCTATTCATTAAATTTAACGCCAATGTTCACACATTACTGTGGATTTAACAGAACTAGACAAGGAATGGAGAAATCAAAGTCTCCTTGCAGATATGGATTCTAACGATTCCACGGATACTGTACGGTATTGGAAAAAAAAATGTTTGAAAAATCTTGAGGGCAGACGCAAATTCATTCAACTGCCAATTTTGGTAAACTATTTTATGTCACTGCCTTTTTCCAATGCTGCCGTAGAACGGTTATTTAGTGATATAAAAACTATTAAAACGGATAAACGCAATAGCCTCGATAATGAAACAGTTGGATCAATCCTGTGCCTAAAATCTGGCTTGAAAAAAAAGGGAACAACCTCTGCACAACTTTAGAAAAATCAGTTTGAAATACCACACCTTAAGTTCGTACAATCCAATGCAACTGCAAGCGAAACGAAAAAAAAATAGACAAAGCGTAAATAAAGTATAATTCAACATTTCGTATTCTTATTTATTGCCTGTCCAGAAATATATAAAACCGTCGTCGGCTAAAGTCGCAGACCTCGTAGCTTCATTTTTCAAAATGACATTATTACACTGTTGTATTACTAATTTCTGACTGCATCTAATAGCAAAACTCCCAAAGCCCCCTTAAGTATTTTATGTATATAAAATTAAATTAAACCTTCTACAAAAAATTTCGTGGTGAAGTTTTTTGTGCCTCCTGTAAAATTTCTTTTGATGGAGTTATGAGGTTTGCGACTCCGACGACGTATCGCCACTGTTTCTTTTATACGGTAACACTATATAGTCCACACAAAAATAACTCCGAAATTTTCCGCAATATTTTAGCTTAGCTTAAAATATTGCGGAAATGGGTTAACGCATGATTTCCCCTATTCATGTCTTTCCCCTTTTTTCTTCCCCTCTGGACCCTAATTTCCCCTCAAAAGGGGAATTTTCCCTCATTGTGGAAACACTGTTCATACTTGATAGCGCCAAAGCGCCATAGCGCAATAGCGCCATGGCGACTACTTACATAACACGCGCTATGTGTTATGAAGAGATAGCGTGCTATAATATGGCGCTATGCGTTATATTAATTACCATTAATTGCCACTAATGGCGATTGTAAGCGGTAAGCGCTGCCAAATCGTAAGTTGCTATTTTCCTCTAGGACACGAAGTTAGCTTCAACCGGGGAACCTAACCTAATTTAAATATATGTTTGTAAAGTATTCATATTAAAAACTTACTAATCATGAATTTTTAATAACATGTATAATATGTTTATTCATGTCATTATATTACTTGAAACTAATATTGCACAAAACAACTTATAAACTCTACTTCAAAACAAACAAAGCAAATAAGCAAAATGGCGGATTGTGTCAGCGCTACTGAAGTTAGCAACCGTGTCCTGGGCGAAACTGTTTAGTTTCGCCATTTTGCTTACAAGCGCTTCCTAGCGCCTTTTTCTGCCAAACGCAGCATGTGCTCAAATAGTTAGTCTGTACACAAATTTAAAAAAAAGAACAGTTTAGCGGACGAAAGAAATTAAAAAATAGATTTATATTTTATAGATTTATCCCCTTATTAGTTGTGATACTAAAAAGAAGGAAAACTCAACTATTTTATTTTATAATCTTCTGGTAAAGAATTAATTTAATTTATTATGTATTAAATTAGTTTTCCATTTAATACTTCTAAATGAAAGTATACTTTTACCTACCGTAGCCATATTGGATACACAAATAATAAGTTGATATTTTACTTTATCTTAAATTTAAAGTTTGCTTTCAAGCTTATTTTTCAATATATTTGTATTATAATGAGTGGGGATTAGTTAAGTAGGTAAATATCTACTATAAGAATTAAGCCTAAATAAATACCACTGCTGGGCACAGGCCTTCTCTTGTCTGAAAGTATTTTAGCTCTTACAACATCCACGGCATGAAATGGGGTGGTGGATGGTATACCATATATTAGGCTTCTGTATATCAAGCTTTTCATTAATTATCAGCTATGCATGCACCTTCATTTGTTGTTCATAATTTATTATAATTTTTCCCTATTTGAATAGGATTTTGTTCATAATTTCATTGGTTTAAATTTTTTTCCACTAAACCCTAATTCTTTTGCTAAAATAAAGTAGCCTAAGTTACTCCTTATAGTATCAGATATATTTCAGTAAAGTCCCATCAAAATAGGTGCAGCCATTTCGTAAGTTACCCAGAAATACCAGGATTTTTTTTAAATTGTTTATTTGTTATATAATTTCATATGCATTGAGTAAAAAGCTGTTATTTCAACATTACATGAGGAGCAGCAAATACTTAAATCTGTCTCACAGGCACGGGCTCTTAAAAGCTTAAAGACCGCACCCAATAGCAATTTCAATCCCAAAATGGCAGAGGATAAACAGTAAGTTACTTATTAAATTCAGTTTTGTGATCAAAGATAAGACTGTTAAAAGTTAAAGTTACAAACTATTTATATCTCCCTCTTACGCACAGGCCTCCTCTCATTTCTGAGAAGGTTTTTAGGGCAAGGAAATGTCAACCAGCTGCACAAATGTGTGTTGGTGAACTTCACACATCTTTTTAATATATTTGTTCTTATTTCCCAAACATGTAGGCTTCCTATCAATGTTTTCTTTCACTGCAGAGCATGTGGTAAATCAGCATTTAAAATTGGAATTAACAATTTCATTTGTGCTCGCGGGGATTGAACCCGGGTTGCTCTCAAACTGTGGAATTCATCAAAGGTTAGATTGTAGTCACTGAAAATGTCATACCCTCAAACCTTTTTCATTTATTAGCTTGTAACTTGTCTGCTCTAGTGTACTAATGAATATGGGCCACCTGATGGTAAGTGACTACTCTAATGGATATCAGCAGTTAACTTCGACCAAAGAGGGCTACAGATCACCTTTGAGAACTAAGATGGAATACTTCACAACCTGTAATTATATAAAGCAAGGGAATTGTTACTATACCAGATAAACCTATATTGGCCCATTGTTTACATAAGCATGTGTGGTGTACCAAAAACAAAGGTTAATGTAAAAATTTGTAAGCTTTTCAGTGCATAGCAAACACGAATGGGCCAGACCTCATAAATAGCACCTGTTCACAAGTAATAATATCCTTCAGCCCAAATTTGGTCAAGGCCATAAATCTTAACTGAGACAATCTCCTGTGTAGGACAGGATTATAGTGCCCATATACGTGCAAGCACAGGTGGCATACTCTATTCCCTCACTCTCATAGCAACACAACTGGAAGGAGATCAGGCGCAGGACTAACGGTTTTATGTGCTTTTCGAGGCACTGAGGTGAAAACACAGCCATTTTTCTGACTCCGGACTTCTACTGTGAATTTCTTCACAGAAAAACTCAACACTTAATAGATTTTTTGGCCTAATCGAGTTTACGACCAACATCAACGAGGCAGTAAAGTGTTTATAAGTGTATATATTAAAGTAAAGTGGGAGGCACGGAAATGTGTCTATAGAACATAACATCCATTGATCAAGATGAACTCCACCTCACCTAGCATCCAGCAACTATCAGGTGGACTGTGTGCTTGTTTGTCACCCTTATTTTATAAAAATGATTATTTCCCCAAGTTGTCTCTTGCAAAATCCAGAAGACAAAGTAGAGTAATGAATTCTCTTACGCTACCACATGTCCTGTCAAATCTACAGTTCAGTCTCAATTTTTAGGAAAATAAAACATGCGTTAAAGAAATTTCAAAATCTAAAAGAACAGCAACGTGACCTCGAGATAGTATTGGAGGCGAAACAGAATGAACGTATAATGTTGCAGGCTGAGTATGATAGGCAGATAACTACATTGAGAATTGTCGGAGCCTTGGCAGATAATACTGAAGAAATTGACCCCAATGCACCTTTATATGAGTAAGTGATTCATATCTTACGCCGGCACTACACAGCGAACTATTATACTATATACTATATTTGCGTTCATCATCATCATTACAGCCCTTCACAAGTCCACTGCTGAACATAGGCCTCCCCCAAGGAATGCCACATAGCACGGTCCTGAGCCACCTGCATCCATCGACTTCCTGCATGTCTTACCAGGTCGTCACTCCATCTAGTGGGGGGTCGCCCTACACTTCGCCTACCGGTACGAAGCTGCAACTCAAGAACCCTTCTTCCCCAACGGTTGTCGGTTCTTCGAGCTATATGGCCGGCCCATTGCCACTTCAGCTTACTAATCCATTGGGCTATGTCGGTCACTCTGATTCTACTGCGGATATCCTCATTTCTAAGTTTATCACGCAGAGAAACTCCGAGCATAGCCCTCTCCATAGCTCGCTGAGCGACTTTGAGCGTCCTCATACGGCCAGCAGTGAAGGACCACGTCTCTGTTCCGTAGGTCATCACTGGCAACACGCACTGGTTGTACAACTTAGTTTTCAGGTTTTGAGGTATACCTGACGAGAAGATGTGTCGTAATTTCCCGAACGCTGCCCAGCCGAGTTGAATCCGTCGATTGACCTCTCGTTTGAAGTTGGACTTACCTAGTCGGACTATTTGTCCCAGGTAAACGTACTCGTCAACAACTTCGAGCTTAGTACTCCCAACAACTACCGGCATAGGTGTGACATGGACATTAAACATGATCTTTGTTTTGTCCATATTCATCTTAAGACCTATCCGTTGGGAGGCATTATTGAGGTCATTGAGCATAGTGCTTAAGTCATCCAGCGATTCTGCCATAAGGACTATGTTATCGGCAAATCGAAGGTGAGTGATGTGCTCGCCATTGATGTTAATATCGTATCCTTTCCAGTCCAGTGGCTTGAAAACGTCTTCTAATGCAGCGGTGAAGAGTTTTTGGGAAATAACGTCACCCTGTCTTACACCTCTCTGCAGTTGGATAGGTTTCGTACTCTGGTTCTGTACTCGAATAGGGATCGTAGCCCTACTGTACAAACACTTCAGCACTTCAATATACCGACAGTCAAGTTGGCACCGCTGAAGAGACTGTATCACCACCCAAATTTCGACGGAATCAAAGGCTATGCTGGCTGGAAAGGCTGGAAGTCGTCGAGTCTGCATGCGAGACGATTCATAATGATTCTCGAAAACAGCACGTAGACGCGGCTCAGAAGGGATATCGGTCTGTAGATCTTCAAGAGAGCGTTGTCACCTTTCTTGAAGAACAAGACCACCGCACTTCTGCTCCACGCCTCCGGAGTAGTGCCACCACGGAGGACAGAATTGAAGAGCTTCTGAAGGACTTCCAGTACCGGTGTTCCACCCGCTTTCAGAAGCTCCGCTGTGATTCCATCCTCGCCTGGGGACCTGCCGTTTTTAAGGTGCTGGAGAGCCATTCTAATCTCGCTCAGACTGACGTCCGGGATATCGGAATAGTGTCGGATAAGACTTGCTCTTGGATCGTTACTCACACTTGCGTGTGGCTCCAACGATGATGTGTACAGCTGCCCATAGAACCTCTCAAACTCACTCATAATCTCAGGTGTCCCGGAAACGAGCCAGTCTTCAGCTTTGACATTTGGCTCTTACTGGCAGACAGATCTCTGGCAAAGACTTTGGAGCCCTGGTTCCGCTCGATCGCTTCTTCAATACGAGCAGTATTGAAGTTGCGCAAGTTTCGCCGCATGCATTTGGAGATCGGTCTGTTCAGTTGCCTGTATGCTGTCAAATCTGTTGACGATTGCAACCTCATCTCCCGTCTAACAGCCATGAGATTAAGGGTGTGATCGGAGAGTTTTTGTGTTATTCTGCGGCGGGTCTTGCAGAACTTAGCTCCGACCGCATGGACAGTTTCCACGAGCTTGTCATGCATATCATCCACTGCATTGCAATCTTCTAGGCACTGAAAGCGGTTACGTAGCTCGAGCTGAAAAGTTTCGGGATTCTGGATTAGAGCACGAGGGGGACGGAGCATTGACTTCATTAGACGAGACCTCTCCAATTTAACGTTTAGATTCAGTGTGCCTCTAACCATTCGGTGATCGCTGCCAGTTTACACCCTTGCGATCACTGAGACATCACTGAACAGTTGGCGTCTGGTCGTCATAAGGAAGTCAATCTCATTTTTGTCAAACCGTCGGGGCTCGACCAGGTCCACTTTCTGTGGGGCCGCTTCTGGAAGAAAGAGTTCATCATAAAGAGTCCCTCTTCCTCCATGAAGTCGGCCAGCTACTGGCCCCTACGGTTTCGTTTCCCTACTCCAAATTTCCTTAACTTCACCTTACCGCTTTCTCTTGTGCCTAGTTTTGAGTTGAAGTCTCCCATCAATACCGTGTAGTGGGTTTTGGAGGAATGCATGGCTCTGTAAATATCCTCATACATTTCCTCCACCTCCTCTTCGGGATGTGCCGAGGTTGGTGCGTAAACCTGTATGACCTTCAGCGAATACCGTTTGGTGATTCTGAGTATCAGGTACGCGATCCTCGTCGACACACTCTCAATCTTTACAAAGTTGTTGACGAGAGACTTGTGGACGATAAATCCGACACCTCCTTGGGACAGATGGTCGCCCTTCCGGTGATAGAACAAGTTGCCGGACTCGAGGATTACCGTGTTCCCCCCCCTCTCTTCGGACCTCGGATAATCCAATAATATGCCAGCGCAACTTGTCTTTGTCCAGTATCTTCTCGTCAGTCCTCAGGGTGCGTGCGTTATATGTTGCCAGGTCGAGTCGTCGTAGGTGGCAACCGAACCTCCACCGGAGATTCTTAGCACCCCCTGCCCCGCCGTTACCATGGTCGCCACCGTAGCCAGGAATAGCGGGGCCGCCAGGGCCCGGACAGGGGGCCGTTTGTTTGCGTTGTTACTCATGGGGGGATATTTGCCATAGTTGCCACGCTTGGCGAGCGGGTTGGCAACCGCAGTTTTTTTATTATATTATTGTTGTTATCAGGAAGATGCTGCTGCCCATCTCCTGCCTGTCTCCCTCTGTCGCCTCTTACGACACCCACGGGAAGATATGGGGTAGTGGATATTCTCAACCGCCACTACACGGCCACTAAATATATTTACGTTACGTCCTATTAAATTCTACTTGGCAACCTCACTTTTCGATTCTTTATTATACTATACCTTTTTACTATGAGGCTTGCCTTTTAAGTTCTATCGTTTACATATTTACAAGAAATTTTGAATTAGCAACTGTTCAATATTCAAAGGAGACGGTCCTAATTTGTATGAAGCGTAGGTCTGGTTGCGTACAAGTAGGGAAATAAATTAAAATAATATGTGACACCATTTTTGGTTATTCAAATCCACGATTTGTCATTATATCAGTGGTATTAATATTTTATTCTTACTAGAAACGGGAATAGCTAATGGCGAATTGATGCCGTTTTGACGTTAGTTGTCAACTGTCATTAGGTTATTGATGATTCAAAATGTGATTCTACAAGCGACTGCTACACGCGTGATATTTATCACGATCTGGAACGCGATCTGGAATGACGTATCGCGATCCACATTGACACATCCTACACGTTCATTACGGATCACGTCAGTATTGGGCACAAAACTGTTAAGTAAACATATCTAAAATGGACCGAAATGTAGAAAAAACTTTTTTTAATAGGATAGGGTGACAAACGAGCACACAGTCCACCTGATGGTAAGTGGTTGCTGTAGCCTATACACATCTACATCTATCCTCGATTACGAATCAGAATGCAGATGCGTTTTCACGCGTGAGGACTAAGATGGAATGCCTCGTTTCCAGTAAAAAGGGTCGCCAGTTCTCTACACTCACCATACGCAACAAAACAGTATTAAGCTACTATTTTACGCTGGTATTCTGTGAGAGCGTGGTCCTTCCCCGGTCTAGCCGACCCATTCGTGCTACAACTATACTACTAATATAACTGCAGCATGGCTCTACCACATATAAAAGCTTGCTTAAAGCTTGTGTGGGCATCATTATGGCAATAATATTAAAAAGGAGAGTATGGATTTTACCGATTTTTTTTCTAACATCTTCTATTGAAGCATAAATTTTTATTTTTTTATAAATTGGTAGTAACTTTTGAAGTGCCTTTATGCGCTTACAATTGTTTTTAAAACCATCACACGATATGTCCCATAAGATGGGTGTTGTTTCTTTGTTGTTGTTGTTGTTGTTTATTTTTGATAGAATGTAGATAGTCCCGTCGAAATAGGATTCTCGCTTTCGTTTGCGATTTCGCCCGCATCGCTACAAAAGTCGTCCTTTTCGATCGCTTCTCCAAAGCAGACTGTGGCAGACTGACGCGTTCCGTATCGCAGCAACACTACACGCAAAATATTTATCACGATCCTTGGATCGCGATATGGATTTTCAGAAATCTACAAATTCTGTGATCCGTATCGCGATCCATCAATAATTGATACTACACGTTCAATGAATATCACGATCCTGGATCGCGATCCAAGTATCGTGATAAATATCACGCGTGTAGCATTCGCCACAGATGTCCGATATCAATATAATCAAAATCTTACGTAAATTATGAAGTCCATAAAACAAAAGTCGAGTCAAAGAAGTAATAACAGATCCAAAGTCCAAATAAAAAAAAAACAAATTGCCAAAGAAATCCAAAAGTAACAATAAACGCATTCACTAGGTCACAATTGCACGAACAAGCTCAGAATAAAAAAAATATATCACAGATCACACTACCTACATATATATTCAGTAATCTATGACCTACATCCTACATTATTTCATGACTCAAGTCACTTTTCAGATATGACATGACATATTATGACAACTGAAAATAGTCAACAAAAATTGGGATTGCATTTTTATTATTATTTATTCTAAGTCATTTAGTCCGATTCATCCTCTAATTTTATTTATGATAAAATCCATTGAAGTAATATGTACTTACGTACTAGAACAGCTATTTCAAACCACACCG